ACCTCAATGTATCTAAAGCCTTCGACAAAAATTCTCTTTAATGTTCCCTCCTCGAAAACTAGTGCTAATAAGGTTACTTTTCACAACTGCTTTCACTCATTTTGTCGTATTAAATAGTATTAACAATTAGAAAGTTGCCGTCTGCCTATAGCCTAGAATTGAAGTAAGATACCTGGAGACCAATAGCCTCTACAATTCTAAAATTTATGACATTTACGCAATGAGTTGAGAAGATACTCATCTTTCAATAATTTTACTGAATGAAAAAAATTCATGAACAATGAGCAAAAATAAGTAACTGGATTAATAATGCGCGCATAATTACATCCAATACACAAGAATTGTGGGTAGAAAGAGTGGACAAGAATGTGAATGGCAACTGGCTTGCCGAATGAATTTAACAATAGAGAGATCTCCATAAGACAAGCGACATTGAAAGATTTGACACAAATCTTAGAACGATGAATGATATATATATGATAATGCTGCTTTATTGCCTGAGCTTGCTCCAATTGGGTATTTTCCTTTTTGGAAACAGAAATGCGAACTGGTTTTGATAGGTGGAATGAGGAAAATCACATTTAAATTTCTCTGAATTGTCTTCAGGGTTAAGCTTCATTCAAAAAGAATGCTGACAAATGTCTTAGTTCATAATTTTATCACCGGATATATTTTTATAAAGATGATATAAATAAATTACAGCGATGGTAACTGAAGAATGCTCATGAATGTTACTTAGGTGGATTTGCTGCAATTGAATCACAAGTGTAAATATTTAATATTTCTATACTTTTCATTTTTATCTCACATTTTATTTGTCATTAATATGACCTATTTTGTTTTACTGGCTGTTTTTATTGAAGTGTAATCGACTTATCCTGCATAACCATTTCCATAGCCTTGAAATGAAAAACTACGAATAGGACGATTAAGGGCATCCCATGAAGGCTAGAATATTCTTGCAAGTGCTCCCGTGAGTGCAGAAACTGTTCAACCGATCAGAAATCGAGTTTATGCAACATAACAAAAAATGGAATGTATTATGTGACTATGCATGCTGATAGCTTGTCCAAACTATGCAATGGACGTTTGTCAATTAATACGCTCTGCCTTCTTACTAATTTGAAAGCAGCACATTTATACCCGAGGACTCTGCTGGAGGCCTTTTGCATATATCTGCAGCTAGTTAGATTTCTAAGATGTTTACTAAGGTCTTTTCTATTTTTTATTTATCTACTATCTGCCACAAGCCTTACGTATCACTTAACACAGTTCACCTTCCAATCAATTTATCTTACTAGAAATGATAAATGAATGATATTAGTAACATTGAGTTTGATCAAAAAATTGCACATTTAAAGATATTGATAGAAGGATGTAGTACAAAATACATAATTGTTTTTAATCCCTTAAAAGCGATACTTTTTGAAATTTAATTAAATGAAATTGATACTGCGGTGGGTAAACTTGTTTTGCGCTTAAGGGAAATTGAAAGGGATATGAGTAACACTTTTCCATTCCAATTTAAAGGTGAAAGTGTAATCACTCATGTGATATGTATGTGTGATTTGGGTTTATATTGAAACAAATTAAGAAGCGATTTATGGACCAAAATGATGTGCTAAAGATAACCAATTGCTCATCAACATTCTACTTAATTATTATTCAATTTCTTTATTGTTATTTTTTATCGTTGGTCTGCTTAAAGTTAGCGTGGGGCAAGTATGCAAAGTTTTTGAACTTACCAAAGTCAAGGCCACTTAGGTCTTCAAGTATATTGCCTTTAATTCCAAATGTTCCAGTGCTCCACTTTTCGTTTGCATTCGAACCGGAATCTGTTTGTACGTAAATAAAAGACGAAATTAGCGTAAGTGCTGTGAAGTAGACTGTTTGTGTGCTCTTTTATGCTAATTAGTCTGTAGTGTCAGAGGTGAGCCTTGCTTCTGGGAAGTTCATTCAATTATTAGTAAAAGAATAAGAAGAGAATTTTTTTATAAAGTTTAAACCGTAAACTGTAGTTGCCAAAAGGACAACGATCATATGTGACCTGAGTGCTCCACAAAACCAAAAATGCAACAATATTCCCTTATTCTGGAAACATGGACACAGATGTATCAGCAGTGTTGTCTAAATTTGGATGATCCAAACGAGAAATGCCAGATTACTGAACATTAATGTAATTATTAAATGTACTACTATGATAATTGATATTAAATTGAATGTTACTTCTGGGTTGAGTGACTTTTGAGATGAAAGCGACTGTAAACTCCTCACAGTCATATTACTTCCACCCAAAGTTAGAACTGTTTGTTCGAAGAAATTGAAATGAACAAATGGTAACGTGCTCAATTCGATAGGCCAACAATTTTATGGTAAAAAAACTTATTTTAATTGTATTTGTGTCTTTAGTTCTCAGACCCCTGGTCTCCACTCCCATCTATGCAGCATTTGCCCACTGATATTCTCATATGAAGATAAAAAAATATATGTGAAACATTTTGCACCTTAAGCATATTCAATCGATTTACTGTTTCATAATCAATTCGTAAGAATTAAGAATTATGTTTCATCAAATCAGGTACATTTGATTTGAAAGTAGAAGGCCATAGCGCAAATCAGTCTTGCCATTGTCACACTGCCAAAGGAATTACTTGACCTTTACACGTTTACGACTGAAGAAAGACTACATACATTCCAATTTATATCAGTCAAGTAATCTATTATGCATATGGTTTACATAATATCAAGCTGCATAAATTTACCATAGTATGACACCGTTCATCACACTCTTAGTTGGTAGTTAAGGCTCCACAAAGTTACGTAAAACATTATTTTTCGGGAAAAATATTTAAAGCGTACAACTTTTTAACAAGTACTAGTTATACCATCAAAGAGATTTTTAAATCGAAGAAGTAAATAAGCAAACAGTGGAAGGGCATGCAAAGGATCGTACACATATATATGATAAGAAGTAAGGAAGTCGATGTTCAACGGACATTCCATTAAAATAATGTGCGTTTTATGGTTTTTATATCATTTCCCTCAACTAGCAAGTTTTTTTATCGGTAGCAGCAGTGAAATCATTGCCATGAATACTGCGCTAACTGATGGCGCATGAAAGTACATGCATTTCACCATAATTACTGACACCGAATGATAACTTTTTCTAGTACCACCTTTTAGTATATGTTTCCAACTCGAATCAAGGCTGACTGAAATATGAAGAGCTGAGCCTACTTCTTAGGTGTTTGACTTAAAGCGAGAAAAGGAAAGTGGCCATTCATCACATCTCCTCCCCATTTAAAGTCAATTTTGGTTATAAACGTATTGATATTAAAATAATATTCACGATTGCACTAATTCAAACTCTTTTAACTAGGGCGAAATCCCTCTTTCTCATCACATGCACAATTTATGCCTTGAGATTACATTTTTCTTAAAGGAAGTTAACAAATCAACAAATTTTACGTAACGATAGGAACATTGTGTCACATAGCGAAATGATTGCTTACGCACTTTGAACTTCGAATGACGTGGTATCCAAACCGTTCCAAGGTCATCTCACGATTTATTGCACTCAATTAAAAAATCAAAGTCAAGACCAACTAAGAGAAAGGGAATTTTGCAGCCTTTCCTTTTATTAGTCTCTGTGTTGAATGCAATTATTTGGAGTGGTTGATTTCGCAAAAAGCAATGATTTCCTCACATCTGGTTTGATCGGTATCCTAGCTAAAGAAGAACTCCTATGATAATAATTGATGTAACACCTAGCAAACAGAAACAAGTGCTGCCAAGTATCAAATTCGCACGAAAAAAAATGAATTTCACATTATTGCATAGTACTTGATGACAGAAAATCGATTGCTGTCATAAGTTTTATAGCATCTTGATTATTTGATACTGGCAAAAGAAAAGTTGCCTAATGGTAGAAATGAAATCTTTTGTTCCATCCACACTCTCTTTTGTCAACCCCCGGTTTTTAACTTCCCACAATTAAAAGTAATAATCCATTTATACATTTGTGGGTAATAATAATAAATTTAAATGAAAATTTAAATTTTTCACTCCAATTCATTTGATCCGATTATTTTAAAGAAATAACTTTCCGCTAGCTACTTCAAGTTTACGAAATTGAAACATAAAAGAAGCGTTCAAGAGGTTTTAAGTGTATTAAACCCCTCAGATTGAAATTAAGAATATATCTACTAATCAATCGAAATTTCGAAACACCCTCAACAAACTGAAAGTACTCTTTAAATTTACGAAACTAAAAGAGTGAAGTTGAGAAAGGTTGGTGCATCTGGAAAATACTTCAATTAAAAACTGACAATATGCTGAAAAACCTAACTTATAAGTATCTATCGAGTGAAAGTTACGAATAAAAAGTTGACATGAAATGACTAAAATTCATGCACCATTTTTATGAATCACGGGGGAAAGCGTTAGTGAATTCAAAGCCTTCAATAAACATTGGGAAGACAAGGAGTGACATTTAAAATTGATCGTTTAAATTCTGACCACTCCAAATGTAGACTTTCTCGCGCATGGAGAGGAATTCGAACTATTTCGTGAAATATACTTTGCTAAAGTTACGAACGTTCTTAGTAGCCGTTATCTCTCGTAAAGCAAAAAAACGACATTTATTGAAATTTAAATTTTTAACTTTCACAATTGAAATCTTTAAATTTCGATTTTTTTATTCTATAAGTGTTAAAGTGAAATCCATGTCACCAGTTCAGCAATGGCGTTTTAGGAGTTTAAGAAATTGTAATCGAATGATTTTTTTAAATATATTTAAATCTCATGGAAATCTTAATGCCAATTATTTTCATATCATATTCAATTATATTTGTGAAATCTGTATGCATTAATTAATTATAAAAATAAAGATCTGGTTTGAATTTACCCTTTCGGAGCCAAATCTGAGTTATTTTATAATCTTAACTTCTGAGTTAGGTCACATTAAAGGAACTAACAAGTAACAACAAAATATTAAATAAGAAAACTATGTTATGTTTTAAGATTATATAATAACACTATATAGTATTTCAATTTAATCAAAGGCGGCAAGCAAGCAAAATAGAAATTCGAGAATAAGAGATCGTTTGAAGTACGTGCACTCAAGCATCCTAGACTGTGAATACTCCTATATCAGTTTGTGGAAGTCAACCTCATCTTGCCGATCAAGATTGGGAGAGGTACGAAAGCAAGGGTAGGTGATTTAATAATTTAGACTAAGAAAAAACTGTATTGCATATAGAATAACAATTTTAAAGAACGTTATAAGTGCTATCAAATTACAATTTACTATAAACAATATCAATTTTGAATAATATTGTGGGAAATGTTATCGCGTTGTGCGTCATCGTATGTCTGCATGTCTGCTCGCCAGGATTGGGAGGTGCGGCGTACAACTCTGTGTGCAGCGACCGTACAAACAGTGACCAATCATCAACCTAATCCCCCATCCTGATCATGAGTAGCTCCCTGCGTGTACACTTTATCCGCAATATACTGACTGAATAAACGTGCTCCGTGCTACACATCTGTTCCCTTTATATCTGGGCTATGGCTTAGCTGGTTCTGGGAGTCTAGCTAGACGTAGGAGAATCTGCCATAGAGATTTCTGAGTCAGTCAGGCTTCACTAAGGTGTTTAGCTGGTTCTGGGAGTCTAGCTAGATGTAGGAGGATCTCCCATTGAGATTTCTGAGTCAGTCAGGCTTTACTAGCGTAGCTAGAGATTTCTGAGTCAGTCAGGCTTCACTAGTGTAGCAATCCGCTACGATATTAGCAGATATAATTTAATCTTCGTTTAGGAAAATTCTAAACAAATTAATTACTTGATAACCCAGAAGTGGCAACAAATATTATCGTTCAGTTAATTGAATGTCGGATAATCAGAATGTCAGATCAGTTCCACCGATCTGAGTTTGGCTTTGTTGACTCATTGTCGAAACGAAACAAATTTTTTAAGTTAATTAACCCTTTAAATGCTCTTACGGCCAACTTTCACAATAAGTTTTATTGGAATTAAACTCGTAACAGAAGGAGGTTTTGTTGTTTGAAGCATATTCCATACGTCTACAGCCCTAGTCTGAACCCACAAATCTCACCACATCATAGACATCAGTCTGCTGTGAGACACGTGACTGCGATAGGGTACATTTTTCAAAAAAAATAAATTGAGCATTAAAGGGTTAAAAAACGTCACGAAACGAATAAAAATTTCTTCTACTTAAAACTTCTATCCCCCACCAAATATCTGATATCGAATCTGGATATTGAGCAATGAGGGTGTGTGTACCCTAAATAATGCATAACAGCTAAATCAAGAATGTGAAATCTCTGTGTGCGTTTGTTTAACTTATAATTTCTCATCAAATTGAAAAGATTCAAAAGAAGCATAATTTAGTACCGTTGGGTAGTACCATTGAGGTAAAATATAGTCATGATAATAAACAGCATTTAGCTCGGTTACATATGAATTTGTATACAAAAAGTTAATGCGGTAAAGTGAATTTTACATGCTTTTCTAAATACGTCTATCTTCTGAATTTCCTTATCGTACTCTACCAAGGTCTATTTCACAGGATAAAATGAACAAGGAAGAACGCTCACCTTGAGGCTTAAGCGCTGTCAAAATTCAAACACCTAAATTATCTCGAAATATTACTCGAGACACCCGAGGAAATAGTCAAATATATCGTCTTCATATTTCTTGGTAAATAAAGATTACAAAACAAAAAATTGAAATCATATATATACTTCACCCTCATGAAATCAAATAATTGAAGTGATATTACTTAAAATAGGAACCAATGTGCTCTGGATATGAAACAGATATGCACTCAATTGCTTCAATTATTGAAGAATTGACAATTCAGGAAACACGGAAATATTGGCAACTTAAATTCTCAAATTTTTATAAAGTTCACCGACGAGGTAATAAATATTCAAGGGATAATAAATGGGTTCCTCAGTAAGTTAATTGCAGGACTTTTAGTGTTTCTTATTTAATTACTCGAAAGGAATGTCAAACTTAGCCAAGCCAACACTATAATCAATGGCCAAGTTTTATTAAACTTACTGACTCATTCAAATTGACTTTAGGGGGTTGATTTGATGGGTTCAATTCATTTCGGAATAGGGCAATGTGTCAGTTTGTATAAGGCCAACTATTTGAGTATAAATTCCACTCACACCAAATTGAACATTCTGCGTGAAGAGATGCTCCCTTTTTCACACTAGCATTGTTTTTATTAATGAGGAAATTATATCCTAATATTTACTTTACACGTAAATAAACATAAAAATTACTAAAAACACTTCTGCAGAAGAAATTAAATGTTGTACTTTTAAGGTAGCTCAAAATTACATCAACGTAATAAACACGCATATATATGTATGTGTATAAATATAAAAAAAATAATTTATCGCTCACACGAGATAAAATGGAGCAATTATTAATATATAGGAGACGTTATGCCATCAAAAGTCATCTTTAAAGTCTATAACCCTGAACAGTGATGTTGTTTCCACTTGAAGAATAAAATCTAAATATAAGGTATCCCAAAAATTATATACACAGTGGAATTAATTGTAAACGTGGTGTTCAATTAGAATTTTATTATTTCAAAAGCGTTAAAAATATTTTACAAGTATAATTTAATGGTTTTTCACTGCATATTTTCAAACTGACGTACATTTGGATCCAGACGCTGCTGACAACACCAAGGAATGGAAATGTACACAACATGAAATAAATCCCTCGGGATTTGGACGCATTCATGCTCAATGGCTTCTCTTAATTCAGTGAATGTTGCAGGCTTTGCGGTGCAAACGTTGGATTTTAAGTATCCCCATAAGAAAAGATCTAGTGGTGAGAGGTTTGGTGAACGGGGAGGATATTCAACAAAACCTCTCTCGTCCAATCCACCCGTTTGACAAGTCCTTATCAAGGAATGACCTGACATCACGATGGTAATGTGGGGGCGACCCGTCTTGATGAAAATAAACCTCTTCATCTTCAAAGTATTCTCTAATGATTGGCATAGCGGACTGCTGCAGAAATTTTAAGTAGATGAGACACTATGTTTTCAATTATTTTTAATGTGTATGCATTTTTTGGAACACCCTGTGGAGACGACGTAGTGGCTGGCAGTTTTGACTAAATAATTTGGAGCTACTGTTTAGGATACGTTGCACATTGCCGAACAATTGTCATAAACAATCAAAAGTTAAACTATACTTGCCAATGAGACTAGATGAAGGAGTGTAGATGTCCGAGGTGGACATGTTTGATAATCGTTTAGAACGGGATTCCAACCAGGCATTGAACCTCCCTGTTTTTGGCGGTGGGTCATCAAATAATAGTAGATCCTCAGATCGCGTCTAAATTAATAGAAAAAAAGAGCCATATGATCAATAATTTTAAAAAATTGAAGTCATTTGCAAAACAAACCGATTCATAAAATATTATTCACGAGGATGTCCATCGCAAATGTTTCTAATGTATTAAAAGGTATATGCAAATCAAATATTTAACCGAGTTTTCAATTATGCAGTAATTCAATATCTGAAAGAAAACATTAAATATTTTCGCTATCAATTCGGCTTAAGGAGTGATTTTACAATTGTGAATAAGTAATTGTCTAAAAAACATCGTTCAACAAGTTCAGTGCAGTATGATTCAGTAAATTATTGATAAGGTACAGACATTTTCATTAATGATAAATTTCTTAACCGTACATTTACAGCCGTTCTAGAGCGCTCAAGTAAGGTCGATTTGTTACTGGCATCTAATTTTTGAGATTCTTGAACCTCGGAAGGCTTTGCCAGTCTCATTTGTTCCCATTCTTCAGCACGATTGGGAGACACGTATTCATCAGAAGGATTGTAAACAGATCTTGATCGACCAGACTTTTCAACTTGGTCATAAATTTCAGAAGCATCGGAGTATATTGGAGATCTAGCATAAGTCGCTAAAATCAATCAAATCGCTTTTTAGTAACAGCACAAACGCCAAGGAAAAATGATTAATTTAGTTACAATGACGATTTAATCGCTCGGACTTTGCAGCTTGGCGTTCTTGTTTTAAAAGATTTTCGTCCTTCAATAAGGTTGCAACACGTTGGGCTTTTTCACGAATAAGAAAGCCAGCATTTGAATTTCGATCATATGAATAAACAAAATCACAAAGGGTTAAAATCTGTGGAAGTTGGGATCTACACTCCTTAATGAACTGTAACAGTGAACAAATTTAATAAATTTCAGTTAAATGTAATTTAAAAAATCCCAAATTAAAACTTACTGCTATACTACCGTACTGCAAACAAGCCTCAATTACAACGAGGGCTTTGTAGATATGTCGCCAATTTTTACATTTATCATTTAATCTCTTAAAAACCATATTAATAGTATCCGTATTATGTGGCAACTTGGTCATTTCTGCGATCTGTAAAAGTAACTGCTGACTAGGAATAGTAGGATCATTTGAGGTAGCCTCCCGAACTAAAAGCTCTGCCTGCGAATACCTTCCGACAGAATTCTTTATTTTTCGTCGGAGTGGCATTTCCTTGGTTCTCGAAAAGAAATATCCAAAAATGCGACACTTCTTTGGATCACGAATAAATAGTACACTTGAAACATTAAAACAATTTTCCTGTTTATGTTTAATTTTTTTAAACGTATTAATACGAAATAATATATGTTTTGGCTCTTTAATTTTATTACTACATAATAGCTAAGGTTATTTTAAATAATGTTTAGGTATTATTAAGTAGTAGTTATCTTATAGCCTAAAGGAATCTTCCCTAATGATTAACTTTTATTTGTCACCATCCATCAACGCCCAATTCGCTTAGTTCCTATAGAATTTCTGACACTAGTTTGTCGAAATTGGGTCTTTTGTTTAATGCTTTAAATATTTACTTTCATTTCAACTTGTGTTATTCTGCCTTCTCTGCACGTATATTAAAATGAGCAATACTGTGTTGTATATAACCTTTTCTTTAATCATTACTCGATCAAAGCAGTCTCAATTTTTATAATCTGATTGTGGCTATTTTTGTATTTTGAATTTTTTTCAATTAACGGCGTTCAAATTAACTAAATTGAAATCACATAGTAGATGCATTTCAGGAAACTAATAAATTTCTGTTCATTAATTAACTCATCATTTTTTTATGAAATGAAGGAATCGAAATTAAAGCAGATGGGTTAATCAAAGTCACCTTTTATTGTACAATCAAGTTAAAAACTAAAACTCTGTATATAATATATATGTTTACCAGAGTTATGAAACAGACACAACGCATTTGTTCGTAAAATATGTTGTATATGTTAAACTAATAATAGTTAATGTCTTGTCATGACACAAGGCTACCTGCAGGATAAAGGTGTTTCCTTAAGCAGGACCATTTTGGGGTGTCATGCCAGCTTTGATTCCCTTCGGTGAACTTGGGTTGCCCCAAGAACCTGATTAGTTATTTCTGTTTGCTTAGTTTTTTCTCCTTCTTTAAACATACAGTTTCAGTAAAACACACTCTATATAATTTTTGGTCTTCCCTTTTTTTCATACCAATCTTTTGGGAAATAAAAATTCCCTTTGTAGTTCGCTTCTACTCCGTACCTTATTACTGTATTATCGATAGGCATAACTTGGAAGTGGGTAGCTTGCCGAAGCTACTCACCGTTACGTAAGGTAGTTGCGCAATTCGAGACCCCTTCATGTAAACGGCACATTTTTAAAATTGAGCTCTCGGTATAAACACTCCCTAGTAAATCCCATACATAAAATCAAAATTTCTCCACCTAAGTAATGCTCATGGGGGCCTTTCTCTGTATTCTCTCCCTACCGACATAAATTACCCTCGTTTTCTTGTTCCTTTGGTCGAACTACAGCAAATTATATCAATAGGAAAATCAATTCAGGAAATAATTGTGAAAATATTAACAACAATGCACAACCAGCCTCAACACAAAGAAAGAATCACAAACTTAGGCATAGTATCAGTCAACACAGATGAACAAAAAAATAAACGCAAATAGATTGTGAAATGGGACGGCAAACTGTCAGTGATATGGATTATCACATATTTATAATTCTAGTGAATTGTTGCGAAGAGGAGTCAGCAAAGCGGACGTTGTCGAAACACTCTCTGAACGGGATAGACAAGAACCAGAACAGCTAAATGATGGTTTAAATCGTAGGTAAGCAAGCAGTCCCGGGGGCAAACCTAATTGGTCCAAAATTGCATCGGAATAGTACTGAAATTTGAATAAGTAGTTATAAATCACAAGAAATTTATATATGAAGTTAAGAAGAAATTGGATGGTTACTGCTTACCTGCCTTATCTTTTGTCGAACTATAGCCTGAAGGGAAGGAGGTGGCTCCAATTGATAAACAAAGACAACTTCTTGAAGCTTTCGTACACCAGGACTGTAACTTCCAAGCTCACATAGAGCAGATCTGCTTGAGATGTTCAAATTGTCTTCAGCCGAAGCATTCATATCCACTTCACTCTCCAACCAATTTGAAGACAACTGCGATAAAAATGAAGCTGTTAGTATCCCTAAAGTACTTATTACACTTAACTAGAAGATTGTAAATTTACATGATTGCTTCCAGGTCGACTTTGAGAGAGACTAGAAGACATTGCAGGTGATACATAAACGTTTAGGGTATTTATTTTCCTTCTTCTTGGTGTCCCGGCTATGGCATCAACGTCACCGACACATCGTTTATTACCTCTATATGCCCTTTTCATTCCACTGCTTCCATTGCCAACGGTAGCAAATGCAATCAGCGCTAATCGAGCACCGCATCTACTCATAACTGGTAAGTAGTTTGTCGGACAGGAATGGAGTGGGCATAGAGGTCGGTCAAAACGAATAACTCGGAGAGTATCCAGCGTGTCACCATGAAAGACAATTAGATACATCGGAGTAAACCCGGGTAGTGGCGGAGTATTTTGATTACTGATATCTACTGGATTATTATTATTGTCGCCAGCCGTCCAGTTATGCTGTAAAATGATATTGATTAGCTGAATTCAATTGCTTTAATAAGTATAAGCAGAAAAACAATCACCTGCTGTGAGAGATCTGGACTATTGTTCGAGCTTAACGAGCTCTCATTAAGGAAAAAAGCTTGTGCCACAGAACCACATTTACAGTTTGAAGTTGTGGTGACTACGGCAAAGATAAGATGACCAGCTCGGGAGTAGAACACCTTAAGAATGCTTATTCCATTAGTCTGTCGTCGATCTGTTCGCTGTTCTTGAAGCAGGGAATCTACAACAAAGGAAATTTGATATTCTGTGAGAAACATTTATGAATTCACAATATGGACAGTAAATGACACTGTTTAGAAGTGGTCGACAGGGGAAGACACGTCAAACCCCTTGAATTCTTTACCTACTCAGTTTTCTAATCTTCTTCATTAAAATGAGAAAGAGTTGAAAAATTGATCTAAATTAAACTAATCAGATGGAAAAATCAGTTACAGATTTGCATCAATGTGCTGAAATGTGCTTTTTACTACAAATATATATTACTTAAACGTGGGGCACAGCTTTTAGACTTTGCATCACTCAGTTGCAAAAAATAATTGCGGGTCTTTTTTAAAGTTCAAGCCCATGTTAAGGGCAAGTATTCATATAAGCTATAGGTCGCATTATTGTGACAAATGCTTATTGGAAGTTTTAGTCCATTTTCATATTGGCTTTTATCTGAAATGCAAACCAGGGAAAAGATGCAAAGGGGAATCAGAAGATAAGCACCTATTACTATCATTAACTCAATTAAATTTGCTCTCGATCAATAGAAATATGAAATATACTTAAGTGAGCACTCGCTAATGATTTTACCTCAAGACTTATGATTGAAAATTATGCTATTCACAAAGGAAAAGTACTTAGCTCCCATTTTTCATTGATTTCATCATACTTTCAAATCTAGGCTCCTTAAAATTATGACCAGTTTAAAAACACATTTTAGTAGTCAGGAAAAAATTGAATGCACGAATAAAAAATGGAATGGATTAGCAATAAAAATCTTTTATTCTGATGACCTTGAAGATCAACTGTCATTGGCGAAAGATGCATCAAACTTGTTCAAGTCGATTTAGGAATGTATAGGTGCCATGTCATCTAAAAAGAGATCAAGTCACTTTTTTGTTTCTTTATTGGAGCTATTAAAGTAACCCTTCAATCTATACATTACTTATGACTTAAAGGAATGGGTGTTAAGGAGCTGATCGACTCGGGTCCAGTGGACTCTGAAAATATTTTGCTCATAAGTGACCTTGTAGAGAGAAAAATATTAGTGATAAATTAATAGATCTTTCTGTAAAGATAGGGAACAAGGTGCTTGGCAATTTCTGAGACGATACCTTTGTGCAAATCGAAATTTTGAAAGTGGAGCGATAATTACTGCTTTTTCTGCAGATAACTGAGCAAGACAATTTAATTTAGTTAGATAAGAGAGCTTTAGTCTCAAGAAGCTTGCAAATCAGGAAAATTGAAATTTTCTTTGTTGTACTTGATGTAATTGAAATGGACAACCACGAAGACAAACGGTATAGCTGAGCGAAAAGAGCATCCAATAATTAGTTCAGACGAAAACTACAGGAAACTACTCGTCTTGACAAGAGCTGCGTTGGGGCAAAAAACAATTTCATAGGACCTGGAAATTAAGTCATACGACAAGAACCCATGGAAACATGAACGACTATTCAGGAAGAGTCATTAATGAAAAAAGTAATTTAAATCAATCATAACTTAAGCTGAATAATAAGCTTAAGGAAAATTGGTACTCCATAGGGCAAAACTTCTCACCCCTTTCCAAAATAAAGTCATTGATAAAGTGGTCAGCTAAAAGCTCACAATATGTAAGCACAAATAAATTATCATCTTTTAATTTTGAAGAGGCGACAAAAATCGAAAATCTACAAATTTTTACAATAATTAGTACTTTGAATTTGAAAGTGGTAATAAGATTGTGATAAATTTACACAGTAGCACATTGCTATTCAAAATGCCATGACTTTGACAAAGCTATATTCTCTTTTATATAATCCAATTATAAAATATCAATATTAATTAGTTTTAGCAGTTCTGTTATTGCTAATCCCACAAATTATTTCAGGTATTTTGAAAACAAATTTTTGGTTTCACAAAAACTGTGAATTGAATCTCGAATTGTGATAATAAGTGCGCAGCAACATTACTCTCCTTGAAAGAACAATTTCACCATTATTAAAAGTAGCGTTTCTTTCTAGCCAGTCGGTAACGTAAAAACAGCTAAAAATTAAATTGCGACAAAATATCTTTTAAAGTGCAGCTATTTAAAAACATAAAATGAGGGGGGAAAGTTCGAAATATGAGACATCTTTTCTTAAATTATAAGTCAGCTAAATAAAAAATCTAATTGATTACTTCAAATTTTAAATATCGAAATATTTGAAACGCCTCTTAACATATCACTAAATACATCACAATTCGAAATTACTAAAGGAATAAAATAAATAGCTGAAATTGTAGATAAATCAATGAAACAGTTAAAAATAGAAAGTTAAATCAATAAAGTAGCTCTTAATTCAAGAGTCCATAAAAAGAACACATGGACAATAAGTTCTTCTAAAATTTTCAGAGTTTGATACTGTAAAATAAATACATATAATATGTCATTAATTAAGAAATCTTTTTAACCTTTAACATCAATAATAGTCAAATTATCAAATCAGAATAAACCAAATCGATTTCACATCACCAATTTATTAATAGTTAAACATTAGTACTTCAGTTTTAAGTGAAATATATACTCCGAATTTCGTTAAAAGTACGTTAGTCGAGTTTGAAGAAAATGGGTTAAAATAGATAACAAATATAAGGATTCAACTCAATTAAAGCCACATGCTATGGTAAAGAGAAAAGGACTAATAATATTAAACATAAAATAAATTACTCAATTAATAACATTTATTTATAAAAAACGGCAGGCGTTTTGATAGTTATCATTAGCCTTTTAGTTGACTTCGGGCTTCACAGTGGGAGGAGGAACATCAATGTGAGAAGAATTCGGGAGGGGGAATAGAAGAGTGATTCACAGATGTAAGAGAGACAGACAGACACAGAGGTTCAGAAAGGATAAGCAGGGTAAAAGAAACAGACACAAAGGCTCAGAAAGGGTAAGATTAAGAGAGACAGACAGACACAGAGGTTCAGAAAGGATAAGGTGAGTACTGTGGTAGGGGTCGAATATGACATACAGTGGGGATGATGGTAGTTTGAAGCGAGAAGTTAACTGCCTGTTAATAGACTTTTTAGCCGTATTATTATACATTGCCCAGGGTGCACCACGAGGAGGTAAGTCTATCCCACGCCCTCATTTAATAATATAAGCGACTTAATAATTGTGCACTATTTATCGTGGTGATGAATTAAGAAGTATATTGAATGATAAAATTAGAAGTAATTGTAAGATAAAATGCAAAATGATTTTTTACGCGCCAAAACTAGTCAATCACAAACGAACAAAAATAGCTAGCATTGTAGAACGATTGCCAAATCAGACTAGCACGTCTAAATAAGAAAACAAACCTAACTTTCATTAACTGCAAATTGTTAACGTTACAGGTTCTTGCAAACATACATTTTTTTATTAATATGAGCCATTGGCATTGATTAAGGATGCCTAGAATTATATGTTGCCAGAAGCTACGAATTATGATTATTATTATTATATCAAATGGTAGGCGTTTTGATTGTTATCATTAGCCCTTTACTTGACTTCAGTCTTTACAGAGGGGATGGAACACCAAAGTGAAAAAATGTCGAGAGGGGGTGGGGGAACAAGAGGGGGGGACAGAAGAGTGTATCAAGGACGAAGGTAGATAAGGTGGAAAAAAGGTGGGATGAGTACTGTGAAAGTGGTCGAATATGGCAAGCAGTCGGGCCATGGAAGTTTGAAGTCGGAAGTCAACTGCCGGTTAATAGACTTTTTTTGCCGTATGAGTATACGTTGCCCAGGGTGCACCACGTGGAGGTAAGTCTATCGCACACATCAGCTACGAATCATAATGTACAGAGTGCAATGAATTTCGTTATGAGCGAATTTTTTATTTTCTCAACCAATAATTATAGAGCAATCAAAAAAGAACTCCCATTATATATTTTTCAGAGATAAACTGTTCGAAAAAAACAGATAAAAAGTTTTCTTATAACAAACTTATTGGCAGCTTGTTATAGCAGAACGCTGATCCTTTAACTAATTCTAAATGGTTGAAAAAACACTAGCAAAAATTAAGATTAAATTCAAAATTAAAAAATGTATGTTTTGCTTTTTCAGTAATAACGTATCAAATAACTTGATATTATGAAATCGTTCAACTGATTACTTTCCAAATTTTCAAACAATCCTATGCGCTAAATTAACAAAACATCATTTATAAGCTCTCAGAACGTGCATCCAAGTCATGAGATTTAGAATGACCAAACATATGCCTCAAAATATCGACGAATTAAAAAGTCGATTTCATTAAATATAGAAGACGTTAACTGACTGGGTTAGTGAAAAGGCTTTTTAGATTATTCTCAGTTGAATTTCTTAATTTTATTTAAAAAAATACGATTTTCATTTAGGAGTTAGTTATTCATATAATAGACGAGATCATGATATTAAAACACTTCTGATTTTGGAAAATAGTATTAATTTCTTGAAAAAAGGAATTCACCAGGTAATCCACCGAAATTTTTTGTTTTCGCAATCCTTTGCCAAGTGGGAAGTCGAACGAGAGACAGACAAGGCGCCTGGGCTTCAAAGAAACCTTCGCCTTGTGAGAACCGCCGTTGGTACAGCGGTGACGCCCTCTGCTGTTGCCTGTCAACAAAATGCACATTCGCCAAGAGGATTCTCGAATTCTCAAACCTTGGATCAAAGTCAAAGAGGATAGCACTGGGCTGGTTGTATCCTCCAAAAGCTCGAACTGGCTCGTTTGTGGGAACTGTTGATGGATCTTCATAGTCGGTTCGAATGGATTGGGTATCGTATTCCGAGAAACCAGTGAAACTGAAGGGGTTAAGGAGAGGGGTGTTTACAGGATTCAGGTGGATAGTATCTGTGGTTAACGGCAATTCAGAGATAAGTTCTTGTGTGCGGAGGTTATAAAGCTGAAATTAAAAAAAATAAGATTGAGACAAACCTTGAAAAATCGCATGTGAAGCAAAGATTTTAAATTTGGCTGTTTTAATTCAGAGACTGTGATGTTATCAAATAGATGGTATATTTTAACTATGGGAGCAAATGATCAACTGGAGTTTAAGCGAATGGGGCCAATTTTTCATCAAAAGTGTTCTTTTGACCTTCTGGAGAAGAGACGTGAAAAGTGAAAAAACCCAATACTTTATGTTAATTTATGTTTTATGATTATAAAATCATTTTTTTCAACGTCTAGAGACAAATTCTGGTCAAAAGAAATAACGAAATAAAAAGGCACATTCAGAATTTTCATAAATATTAAAAACTTTTCAGAATAAAACTACCGTTTGTTTTAAAGTAAGCACGCTCAATTAAAAGCACAGGCGTAAAATTTTGACGTAAAATTAAAAGAATAAAAAACAAATTGCTTCGCTTTAAAATGATCTCGTTGATAAATTATAAAATTGGTTTAAAATAATGCGATATTTTATGATAAAAATTTCAAAGTTACATTAACTTTAAAATTTCCATTCAAGTCAAAATTAAAAAAGGGATTTGGATAAAATCGTACCAAATGAAAAAGTATGTCCGTAAAAATATATGTAGCATATGAAATTATATGGTATTTTTTTGTCAAAATGAAAGTATCCTTTTAAAAAAGTATTCAGACTAAAGGGAAAATGTTTCGACGAGTCTGTTCATGTATAAGCAAATTCTGCAGTTTGCTTGGAAATATTCAACCTTTTAGTGTGCGATAGACTTACCTCCATATAGTGAACCCTGGGCAAAGTATACTCATTCGGCAAAAATGTCTATCAATCGGTAATTGACTTCTGACTGCGAACTACCATCACCCCACTGTATGTCATATTCGACCACTTCACAGTACTCATCTTACCTTTCTCTGCTTTTGTACCTGTCTGTCTCTTTTACATCCGTAAATCCCTCTTCTGTCTCCCCCTCCCACTCTCGACCTTTTTCACTTTGTTGTTTCTTCCCCTCTGTGTAACCTGAAGTCAACTGAAGGGCTAACGATAACTATAAAAACGCCTGCCTTTTGATATAAATAAATAAAAAGTGTATGCTCTACTTAATAATTTCAGGAAATGAATGGAAATATGGTAAAGATACTTTTGAAAATATTAATAAATAGCCCCCTGGACATCGAGGAAATGAAGCTACTGAGGAATAAAATTTCAACATTGAAACTTTCAAATTCTAGCAAATGTTCAACTACTTATAAAAATTAGATCACACTAATTTCAGGCACTATATGTTTGCAATGTTTGCTTTGTAATAAAAAATAATAAAAATAGTCGTATATACACGGATATACTTTTCCTGAAAAAAAAACACGTCAGATAAAAAATTTTTATCTTAAAATTTCGTCGAGTATGTAATTGCAACTTCATTTCCCAATGACCGAATTTCTACCAATTCATTGTTAACCTAACTAGCTAACATAGTGTCATCGCCTTGAAAAATGGGATTATATTAAATTGATAAATTAATTAATAATTGTTATATATAATTGTAATTTTAGTCCAATTGCATTAAAAGGGCAAAATACAAATAATACTTTCAAAATATTTGGCCGTAAGTTAACAAATGCGCATAACGTTTCGGTTGAGTAAGCACCTTATTGGTTGTAAGGAAATGACGAAAGGAATATTCCCTATGGAATTTTAGTAATTTCTAATTAGTAAGAAATATATTTATTGCTAACATTTTCACTTCAACTTCCACTCAGAATTTTGGCGCTAAACTCAAAAATTTGAATTTTATGAGACTACAATTAAATAAACTAAAGGAAAGAAATTATGAATTCGATATTAATATGCAATCTATCAACTCTACCCAACTCCATCACCATATTAGCAATTTCATTTTGTTCTAGTGCAGAACACGCATATGCACATTTAAAACAATTATTTCAACATTGAAATACATTATTTGTTTAAATTATCTCTATATTATTTGTCGAACTCGAAGCGCCTGAAGTGAATCATCATTTTAAAAATGGACAATAAATATTGGAATTAATATTTAACTGAGGAAAAGTGACCTGATGATGGTTAAATGTGTAGCAATCTGCTACAAATTAGTGACCCTGACGTGATTGCCAAGGCCTGATTTCATTCACTCAGCAGAGGAATAATTTCTCACTAGCATTGCTATTGTTCTCACATCGCTCATATCACCTGGTGATTCCTTTCTACTCGAACGATTACTATCTCATCAGCAGGAACACGTTACTCTTCGGAAACCTACCAATGCAGGTTCCCAATATCCGAATTCATTGAGACGTTTCAACCGGCAAGTCGAAACCATTCGTCTTGCAAACATACCATTACCATGGATTGTCGCATCCAAACATCCGTTCTACAAAGACATTGATCACCGATCGTTATCTTTGGAGAAACATCTGACAGGACATCCGTCAGTGGACCAAATTCTGCTTCACTCGTCAAACTGGCAAGGTCCCCAAGCATACCCACTTGCTTCATTCTGACATTCCCTTCTTTGCTATTCCAACACCTGTCCCACCTCTACCGAAACCCCGTTACACTCTTGAGGGCCGAAGAGTTAACTTCCTCTCTCGACCGGTTGGTTTTATACATTAAACTTTCTTTTTTTAAGCGTTTTCTTTGTATTTTAGTTAAATACAAGCGCTCTAGGGGAGGGGGAGAATTGTGAGACACGTCATTGCCTAAATGTAATCGCATGCGCGCACAACCAATGCCCAATCAGAAGCCCTCGTTTTTTTAAACGAATCCTCCATGCTGTTTATGACTAACAATTTTACAACGCTATACTCCCAAATTAACGTGATCCTTGCGATAAGTCTTTTTCCTCTATAGCTGGGCCGTAGCTAAGCTAGTTCTGGGAGTCTAGCTAGATATAGGAGATTTCGTCATTGAGATTCCTGAGTCAGTCAAGGCCATACTAATGTATCAATCCGCAACAAATGAAAGATGAAGTGAAATTCTTAATGACTTGATTATCGTTTATATGTCTCATTCTAAGGTACCGATTTTTGGAATTGTACTATTAGTATCTGAAGAACTAATAAAACTAAATATTGAGACACAATATTAGAATAAAATTCTATCTTTTCTCGAATATGGGTTAACTCGGAAGATCGCACTCAATTGGAACCATTAAATTTTAAAAACTCTTCTTAATTGTGCTTTATATCAAGGAGCTTTTATGGAACACCAAATTTGAAAACTGGAAGAATCCACCAAATGCTCATCTAATAATTTGCAAAATAATTACTCGAGAGCTAAAAAATGTCTTCTCGATTGAATCAATGAATTGCCTTAATATTTAATTTATAGAACATTCGATAAGTTTACAGCAAAAGGAATTTACCAAAACTGACTAATTTACAGTTTGAAATTTAGTGAGCCAAACGTTCAAACCTTTAGAAGATAAATATAATGAAATGACAAAATTAATTCTTTTCCTAAATGGATGCGATTTGAAAGTCGTTTATATTATGATTGTTTTAGTGGTATACTTGAGAATGGATATAAATAAGATGTGGCATTGTTAAAATGTTGACATATTATTATAGAAGTCCAAAAGATAATTTGTAAATAGATTAAAAGACGTAATTACTAACTAATACTAAGTTAAATGCAAATTTCGACATTTTTCACCTCAAAGATAGCAATGAATCAGTATAGACGTGCAGCCCACAATGATCAAAAGATTGTCAAAAATAACTATTCAGGAAATTCCAAGACCGTAAACTCCGTGATCAAGTGCCAAGAGGCTCGAGAAACATTTTACTTGAAGATAATGTTTATCTCGCATCCAAAACATTTTTTAATCAATAAAATTAAAGCGACCTATGATCAATATACATAGAGACTAATAAAATAGTTTCAAGTTGTCAATATCTATTAAAGATCATTACAATTATAGCCTAAATAATTGTCGAAAATCGACTTATTTCCATCAAGATGAAGGATTGTAGAAAGGCGAAGTGCCAAGTAGTTGAAATAGAAAGCTCAAAGTTGGATTAATAACATGAAGCGTAAGTAGCAAAGTAAGATTTGGGAAAAAAATTTGCCACCCTTCATAAGTCCGAAAGGGGTAAATCATTTAAAGCCTCTATCTTGTCTAGCTATAAAAGGAAGTGACTAATTTATTTTTCACAAATTATGAATTTATTAATAGTTAATTAATTTTATTAATTGTGCTACTTGGAGCTAATTGTCCGAAGTGAATATGGAAACACCCACACTAAGTATATGATTTTGTAAATAAATTTTTTTCAAAATTCGAAAATCATTTAAAGTCACAATCGGTGGCTTTTTTTATTTAGTCGAAATAGACCAAACCAAGCTGTCCGAATGCCAGTGAAAGCGATGGCGTAATCTCCACCATCCCCCCTGACCCCCCCCCCTCCGGCAAAATGACAAAGCTGTAATTAAATTTGTTTTGTATATTCCAGTGCTGTCAGAGAGTCGAATTAGGTGAGGTTCTACAGAAGCAAAAAAATGCCAATTTTTGGATGAGAAGGCCTATGCGAAAATGCACGAGCGGAGGGAGTGTCCTATTGGCTATACCATTCTGTGCAAAAAATTAGAAATGGTCCAATAGCAGTAGAGCATAAATAGAGTTCTAGCGAATTAATGCAGCTTATAGCATATTTGATGTATTAATTAAACCTTGTTATGGATAATTATAACTCAAACGCGACTCTTTGTGTAATGAATGCATATAGTCTAAGAGATGTTATATTTCAAAAGCTTTGAAGTAAGAAAATTTATGTTCTATGATATTTCGTCATTAACTTACCATCAAGAAGTAATCAAAACACACTGTTATAAAACTGTCACAAATCGTTTGAGTAGGAAAAAAGAGAAAGAGAATCTTAGCGAAAGAGCTCTGTAAGATCAAAAACTTAGCTAGTAGCGAAATTGCAAATTCTAATTTATTTTTCGCAATGATAGACATGATGAGGGCGGTGGTTTCAGCTTCCGATTTTAAAACATCTGCCACTAA